TTTTTTTCTAAATTGTTACATTGACCACAAGCGAGAACCACAGATTTTACCACGACAAAATAACTGAGTACTTTGGTATGGTATCGTGTGAAAGTAGCACACCTGTCAAGGAAGTAAACACCTGAAGGCTAAAAGCATGACATTAATATTGACTGCTGTCAGCTGAGGCATTCTGTCGTCATTTTCTGGCCTACTCACCTTGTAACACACACACACACACACACACACACACACACACACACACACACACACACGCGCGCGAGCGCATCCATACCATATATACATAAATATATATACTCATGCACACACAATCAAAATCAATAATTTTTTAACAAGATTAACAGAATATTTTCAATTCTTTCAAATTGAGTCTGACATTTCGTTACATTCTCTGCCACAAGGCTGCAATTATGACACGCTAAGGTGTCTTGTAGCTGATAAATTATCTTCAGCCCTGCAATGCTTTTCACACTGAGACGAAGCGTCGCAAACCTCCGTCTGAGCTATCGCTATTTCCAAGGCATATGTTTTGAATAGTCACGTATGTTAGTCCCACCATTCCTGAACTTTACACCTGGGATCCGCCATGTAACATACACAAAGACGACCCCCCCATTTCATTCGTATTCCATTAAGAATCTCACTGAGAGACCAGCCGTTCATCAGTCAGTGTATGTTTGGTGGTGATGAAACCAGGCTTTGGTTTTGGAGGCATTGGAAGTTATAAGCCAGTCCACCCCCACATTGAGAGCAAGGGTAAATGAAAAAATCAGTTTCCAGGCTTTTGTCATGTACTTCTTTTTGGAGGTACACCCATAAACCGTGGCATCATCTACATAAATCCTTGTGGAAATTAACTGGAACAAAACGAATAATTTCGGTATTATTTCTTTTTTTTTTTTCGTATTTTTCCAATGAAACATGACGCAATTCATATGTTAGTACTTCGTATGTCCATTCCACGAAGTCGTTCCTTGCAGAGTGACCACAGATTCTCGATTGGATTTAAATCAGGAGAGTTTTCCGGCCAGTCTATAGTACTTCGATTTGCTTACTAGTATGACTTGCCAGTGTGTTCGTACAGCGTTACAATTTTCGTACGTTTACTTGAAGTAACGCCAATCGCTGACAACGACCAAAGGACAACTAATCGACAGTTGAGACAGTATTGTCTGGGAGTGGTAAAAACCTGATGCAATCAGGGATGACACAGTATTATTCAAGGCCAAGCAAAATTCTTCATACATCCCGGAAATAGATTCATATTACTGCACGCCACTGCAAATGACCTAATTTGAGGAAAAATAGAAATCGATTACACCCTGTCATTCCAGTAGGTCTAAAACTGATCGTATGGTGATAGAAAGGAAATCAAAGTGGTTGTCTCAATTAATTTGCACGTGGGTGTATATATTCAGCAATGAATTGATAATGTTCCTGTATCAAATGTTAGTATTGAGTCAGAAGCGACGTTTTTTGTTTTATTGTAATTTCATCTTGCTTGAACAGTTGTAAAATATGTTGATCTAAAACACGATGAGAAATAGCAACGGTTCAATAAATGTAATAGAATTTGCCTGCTTACATTTTCCACGCATATTTGTCATTCGTGTCCGACATAGCCAAGGATAAGAAAAACTGCACTAAACAGAAAAATAAGACGATGTATGTTTGCATGTGCGTTCCTGTTTATGTGTGTGTGTGAGAGAGACTTGGTTCTTTGATTTTGTTTAGCGGCATATCAACACCTCTATGGGTTATTTATTACCGATATCTAAATACTTTGACCACAATGTTATGGTTTCAACTACACTTAAAATGTATTGTTGGCAATTTTACTATAAATAAGTATTATTGGTAAGTTTTTATATAAAAATGTATTGCTGGTATTTTTATCATAAATATGTATTTTTATACTTTCATAGTTTGAAATATGTATTTTGATACTTTCATTTTTTTGTTATTTTTTAGGGGGGGTATTATTTGCCCATAGCTGGGACCCTAACATGTGCTACCACACCGAATGAGGGTGGACCTGGGAAGTTTGTGGGCGTGTGATTGGTTGTATGAAAAGAAAACAACGCAAATATTACAGATTAGGCAAAAGTTCACCGGAAAGCGCTAGATATTCACAAACACTGGATGTAGTATCACACTTGAGATGAATGAAAAATCACTACATCCCCGATAACAATACGACAGCATGTCTCTTTGCATCGCACCATTCATTTTTCGATCAAACCCGTTATTTGCAAAGTACTTACAATATACTACTAACGTAACTTGAACATTTTTTATTTTAAAATATGCGTAATTAGTCATTGCATCACGTTTAATACTAGCAAAAATCTCTTGTAAATTTATTTTTGGGTCTGGGAACACTCGGCAAAATTTTTCATATTAATTTATAGGCACTGATTCCTCGCTATTTACATTATTCGGACAACGTTTCGGCCTTTCAGTATCTGTCTGTTTCTGAGATGAGGTATTATGTACACTATTTACATTATTTAGACTATTGTCCTCATCTTTGTCGCCATATCTATTACAACGTTTCGGCCGTTGTACGCTCCGGCCTTCTTCGCTGTGCGAAATTTGAAAATGCGGAATAAACCTCTAGTAATACAGAGTTTTGCAAAACATAAATGTCATAAAACAAACCTTTATCCAAGAAGAATCGAGAATAGTGAAATAAATAGTAAATGTAAAATAAAAAAAAATCATCTCTGGTTGACTATAGATCATTATCATTAACTGGATTGTGTTTTCATTTTATAAACACTGACAGACTCGTGAATAATCGAGAAACGTATCTTCCCTTCGGCAAAAGTTAGCGAACACTTTGTGACTGTATTTAGACAGGAAGATGCACACATTTTGCCTGTAACTCATAAATTAAAGAAAGTTAAAAAAAAAATTCTACCAAAATTACTAGACATGGATCATCTATTTTATTCTTTGTAAAATGTCTGGCGACATTCGCATGTTTTTGAGAGAAGACATTTTGTATTTCTATAATGGCACTTCCGGATGCCTTGCAGCATTTAGTGTTCGTTATGGCACTCAACAAGAAGGAGCAAAGTTGAAGACACTGGGGAGAGTTTCCGCTTACAAGCATCTTGAAGAGCATTAACTGTAGCTCGTATTTGCCTGCAGCTCTGACCTACGAAATAATTTTTTAAACGAATGTTAACTATTCTAAAACAAGTTTTAAAATTCAGAAAATTTATAAACTGACACTTAAAAAAATATGGTTTCTCTGCCGTTTGCCTTTTAATGACAGTAAAAGTAAGAACGTTTATCTAATGAGAATAATGGAATACAATGAGTGATACAGCGAGCCTTCAAAGGAAATTGAAAGAAACTGTGAAAAATGAAAACAGCAAAATACTAACATACTTGGTATCGTAACAAAAACCGGAGAATCGAGATAAGTTTGAGAAAGAATTTAAATCGTTCAGATCAATTAGTTGTTGGGGTCTGTAATGATACCGAGGAAGATCACGGAGATTTAAAGAGACTTCTTGTATAAGAATAAAGTGTTGCTGCTGAGGCATAGACCGCCAGTGAGCAAACACAGACGATCCCATTATTGAATTAAGTAGACCACGTGACCATTGAGGAAACGCATATATGGAAGGTATAGAGACGTCTAATTGATCAACATTTCTGGTCTATCCTCTATTACTATTCGGATCGCTATTTCTACTCTATCCTTTATTAGTATAAGGACCGCTATTCTCAACTCTATTCACTATACTATTTCTCTATACGAATCACTATACGGATTAGTATTCGAGCGAGTATTATCGAGCAAGTACTATTAGTGCGAGTGTTACTCGAAGGCGTCTGACACTAGTATTGTTCAACGGTTTTACTATAGTTGCATATGCGATTACAAAGTCTCTACTACAACGAGCATTTACAAAAGTGACAAGGAATATTCCTTGACATCACAAAACTTGTTATTTGATCTCAATAGTTATAGCTATCGGACATAAGGTGAACATTCGATTTCATGAAAAAAAAGGATAGAATGCGGTCGAGCGTCAAGTCAGCCGTATCAGTATAATTATCAGGCAAAGCAGAGTTAAGGAACCAAATTGTAGACCCAGGATTATCTCATGGGATTATAGTTTAGTAGATTAAAGCATTGGTTAGTGAATTTCATGACAGTCATTGTGAGTTCAATTCAGGACATAGATTTAGCGGGAAAAGGGCAAGTTATCACTAAGCAACAATGAATAAAAACTAACACGAGATATCTCGAGATCTGAGTAGCAGAATAAGAACCATTTGCTCCCGCAAATTAAATAAATGCCGAAGGTCACCCGGATCGGTGAACACCTGATAAAGGCAACTGAATGTCGGAGAGCACATCAGCTGATACTTTGTCATAATAACAACAAACATGTGGACAATAGTCCGAATATAAATAATGTAAATAGTAAAAGACAAATCCCTTATTGTTTTACGAAGAACAAGCGCAATTTGGAACAATAATATCAAAAGGAAAATGGATCAAATAGAGAAAAACAACACATGCCATATTTTTGGAAAAATATGACATTGTAATGCTTATAAAATCATTCAAGATTGTTTATAAGAAATATAAAAGCAAGGAGGTCAGAATGGGAAAAGTTACACACTGAGATCTGTGAAAAATACCCGCGTTCAGCCGTATAAAGAATTCTAAAAACATCAGAGAAGACTAAGCAACTAGTCCAAGGGCATCGCTTAATTCAGAACAGAGTTGAAGTTAACGGGAAACCATTCTATTTAGCTCATCGTCATGGCAATACTAATAGATTGACTAAAAAGTAAATTGCAGAAAAATAACAGCAAGATAGATGGATGGCAGCCAGTCTTGGACAAAGAAAACGCTTAATTCAAATCTGAGGGCTTTGCTGTTTGGAGCCTCTCAGAGTTCTTAAGAAAATGTACCTAGGTTTATTCCAGCCCTCGCAACTATCATCAAAATATCTATGTAAGCATTCGGCTTACGGCCATATCATGTTTAAACACGGGTTCACATACGATCACCAAAGTTAAGCAATATTGAACCCTGTCAGTACCTAAATGAGTGACCGTTTGGGAATACCAGGAGCTGTAAGATGATCTGGTGGTGTAAGGGATAAAGGCTTGGATGAGAAATCGGAGAGCCGTGTTCGAATTCCAGTCGGGTTCGTTATATTCATTTACGTGCAAATACATTTGAGAAATAAATAAATTCACATCCAGTAAGACTTGTATGAGAAAATAAATATTTCCCCCCCCCAAATTCTTAGTATCCAAAAATACATTCGGCTTTACATAACCTTAAAAAGGTTGATAAGCTGTAAAACACAAATCAGTCAATCAATCATGTGTAGGCAGTTCAGTTCTATAATTGTTGAGCCCTTAGTCAACTAAATATGATGGACGTCGTCTTCAATGTATGAGGGTCCAACAATTTCGAGAACTGAACCATCAGTCTAGCCGCATATATGATTTAATGATAAGTATACATGCATCCTTGTTCAAATTAATTTAAACAAAAATAATAATTTCGTTATAATTTACTTTTGAAATATGACCCAGTGCACATCTTAGTACTTCGTATGTCCATTCCACGAGGTTATTCCTTGCAGAGTGACCACAGATTCTCAATTGGATTTAAATCAGGAGAGTTTCCAAACCAATCGATAATACTTTGATTTGCTCACTGGTAAATCTTGCCAGTGGTTTCGTGGAGCGTTACAGTTTTCAAACGCTTCCTTGGAGTAACTTCCATCGCAGACCATGGCCGTAGGACAACTAATCGACAATGGGGACAATAGTGTCTGGGCGTGATAAAAATCTGATGCAATCACGGATGAGACAATATTTTCCAAAGCCAAACAAATTTCATCATACACGCCGAAAATAGATTCATATCAACTGCACACCATTGCAAATGACCTAATTTGAGGAAAAAAAATAGAAATCGATTACACCCTGTCACTCCAGCGGGTCTAAAACTGAGCGTATTGTGAAAGAAAGGAAACTAAAGCGGTTGTTTCAATTAATTTGCACAAGGGTATCGTGAAGGATTTGTGCAGAACCATCGACACTTTTCAGGTGAAATGCATAAAGAGAATTGAAGCACGTGTTGTGTCAGAAGCAATCAAGCCTCATCAGTTTCTGAATTCAGATTTCCTTTTCTCCTAGATTGATTGCCAAGTCTGAAAAGCAACCTCCTGTCCGACTATTTAAGCCATAGCTGGGGGACGAAGAGCTAGATTCATGACTTTCCCAACTCGACTTGAATTCGAACTCGGCACTCTCATTTTTCGTTCCGAGACGTTATGAATTACACCACCCGCAAACCACCTTACAAATGTTGCATGTGTGCGTATTGATTTAATTCTTCTTACAATCATTTTTATCTGGTGCCCGCATAAACTGTAAGAAAGAACACATAGTTACCACTGTGGGTCATTTATGAAGAGGTGTTACTTATTGCTCTACAGAAAGATGCTGAGGATACCATGGACCAAACATGTGGACAACGACGAGGTTTAGGAAAAAAATAGAAACAAAAAGGAAAATTATACTTAACATCAGGGAGAGGTATTTGAAATTTCTGGGCGCATAATGAGAAAAGTGGGCTTGGAAAATTTGATACTCACAAGACAGATTGAGGAAAAGAAGGACAGATGAAAGCAGTGCGTAACATACTTGATGAGCTTGAGTAAATGGATGGTAGAACAGGGTTTAGGAGAAATAACAAAATCAAAACTTATAATGAGCTACAAGAAGCAGGAAGGTGTGGAGGGTCATGATCGCCAACGTTCTGAAGGGAAGCAGCACATAAAAGAAAAATATAAATTTACTATACGATATAAACAAACTGAGTCTAGAATACGCTGCGCTCGGAGAAGTTTTGTCCATTACCGCAAGGTGCTACAAAACTGAAAGATTTATTTTAAAAACCCGAGTCCTTTTCTCGTCAGATCGAAACAGACTTTCTTATAAATGTCATGCATGACGTCAAACCCGTTCAGAAATATTTAAACATTTAACTCTATACAGACACATTCTCAAATGAATCGGTAAAAATGGTTTTCAACGAATGAAACATAAATTTCACCGAGGACCATCTTTCTTCGAAACTCTTGGACTGGTAGTACAGAATCAAAAATAAGGAACTGTACCAAACCTTTAACCCTTATCTTCTTATATTTCCCTTATCCTTAAAAATCCTTGTTACATTGAATTAATAAATATTAAACACTTCAATGTATGTATTAGTTATAACAAGTTCTCCTACACAGCAGCGAATGCTGGACAATCGCCTCAAAGATGCAGAAAAAACTTGAAAGAGAAATAAGCTTTGTCACATAAAAGATGCTGAGGATCCCAGGGATCGAGCAACGACGAGGTTTACAAAAAAATAGAAACAAAAAGGAAAATTATACTTAACATCAGGGAGAGGCATTTGAAATTTCTGGGGCACGTAATGAGGAAGGAGGGCTTGGAAAATTTGATACTCACAAGACAGATTGAGGAAAAGAGAGAAAGAGGAATGCAATGAGCTTCAGTAAATAGTTGATAGTACAGGATTTGAGAGAAATAACAAGACAAAATTTATTAAGAGCTATAAGGAACAGGAAGATGTGGAGGACCATGATTGACTACGAATTTATTGTTATTAAATGCAAAAGAGGAGAGTATTAAATGTTTACTGATGAAAGAAGTATAAAGTAAAGGCCATTGATACGTGACAATATCGATTAGACATTCATGAAATGATTGATTTCTATCCTTTGAACATTAAACGTCGATCGCTGGCTGATCAAAGCAATTATCTCGCTTTGCTTTGAACATGATAATATCTGATGAATCACACCGACGTTGCCATTGAACAAATGGGAATTTCAGCTAACGTATCTGTCAGTAATCATAAACCTACGAAATGAAGTGATTGCTTTTTATAAATTATATCATTTAGTTTGGTTTTTATATTAAATATAGCTAATGTTTTGATTAAGTTAAAATGGATTATTTACAGGAGGGCCAATTCTCATCTTGTTATTATGAAAACAATTTGGCCGTTGTACACTCCGGGCTTCATCAAGGGATTTTCGATCCGAGTAACCTTCAGGGAATTTCAAACTGAATCCTTTATTTAATCTTCGGGGTATATTCTCTTGTACTGCTGACAATGTCTAAGGATATCTTGTTCTGTTTAAACTTATACCCTCGCGCAAATTAATTGAAACAACTGCTTTAGTTTCCTTTCTTTCGCCATACCCTCAGTTTTAGACCCACTGGAGTGACCGGGTGTAATCATTTTCTATTTTTTCCTCGGATTAGATCATTTGCAGTGGTGTGCAGTAATATGAATCTATTTTCGGGGTGTAGGATGAAATTTATTTGGACTTGAAAAATATTGCCTCATCCGTTATTGCATCAGATGTTTAACACACCCAAACACTATTGTCTCGAATGTCGATTAGTTGTCCTTTTGGCGATAGACGTTACTCTAATGAAGTGTATGAAAATTGTAACGCTGCACGAACACATTGGCAAGCTTTACCAGTGAGCAAATCAATGTACTAGCCTGACCTGGAAACTCTTCTGATTTAAATCCAATCCAGAATCTATGGTCAATCTGCTAGGAAATACTTCGTGGAAGTACTAACATATGCACTGGGTCATATTTCATTGGAAAAATACGTAAAATAGTAAATAGTAACGGAATTGTTCGTTTTTTTTTTGCCCAAGGGTGTAGAATTACTATAACAACACGAACTAACACTTTAATCCACTAGGCTATTGTACTTTGAGACAATCCTGAGTCTAGAAATTGACTCAGTGCAAACAACAATAACAGAGTAGTACTAAATACAGACGAGAAAAATACACTTACACATAGCGGCACAAAAATCTACCCAGTAGTTTAAATGAAGGGTTGTGTTAATTTCGAAATTTTTTAAGGTTTGCACGGATTAATCAACACCTGATGACGGCGGGAAGCCAAAACTCTCGAAACATTGTTAGAATAAGAACAAATGTAATTCTGTGTATAAAAATAAAGGAGAAAGAAAACTAAAAAATAAAAGGGCCACCTAAGTTGTTGAATAAATGTTGAGTTGCTGAAAAAAACGATATATTTGAGAGGGTCGGTTCAAGGTTACAAGCCCCCCCCCCCACCTCTAAGAAAAAGAAAAAAAAAGGAAAAACATCAGTTTCTGGCGGTTCCTTTTCATTGCACCGTGAAATGACAAAGCAGCAGTTGGCGATATTTTCTAGCAAACATACATTTCCTTCCTTCAGAATACTTTAGGGATATGCAAATGGCTGTGATATGGAAGTTCTTTCACTTACTCTACCCTCTCCGTTCCTGATAAGTAGTCGGCAAAATTTCCCCACCGTGGAGCAATAAAATCAGCCAATACAGATAATATGCATTCTGATGTTTGTTACTATAAGAAAAACTAGGATTGATTTGATTTTTACAGACTGCCATTGTGGTGTACTGGCCAAGAGACAGCCGTAAAGACGAGAGCACTAATAGAATCAGTACAGCCTACTTCTGAACAAAAACCGGTCGCAAAGTACTGTTTCGACTCATAATGTCATGAAAGTTCCACATAAAAATATGTTGAAAACATTGATCGATTGAGACGTTTTCTCCGGCTTTTCAACCCTTTGCAGGTTATTTAATACCGCAAAATATTTTGGATTAAGATTCTTTTAAAGGTAATAATGGTTTAGTGATTAGTCCTACTAATTAACCTACACGTAGGTGGAAGAGGTGGACTCATTCCTTTCTTAAAGGCATTTTGTGTGTGAGAGAGTATAGCGAACGCAGCGGGAATTGGAAATCCCGAGCCATTATCCATTACCCGACCGCACATCCAAGCTTAAAAAGCCATGTATTCCCGAACGGCCACTCATCTTGGTACTGCAGTGATGTAGCCGTTAGCTGATGAGGTCAATAGTTCGAGCGTTAATTATTAGGCAGGAATTAAAACTATATATTGTCTATATTTAATTGCATCAGGCCGAAATTAAACAATTTAATAAAAAAAAAAGAAGAAATCAGCAGATTAAAATCAATCAGACATGGCGAATTCTTCTTTAACG